CTGGGCAACAGAGTAAGATTCTGTCTTAAAAAATAAAATAAAATAGGCCGGGCGCGGTGGCTCAAGCCTGTAATCCCAGCACTTTGGGAGGCCGAGACGGGCGGATCACGAGTTCAGGAGATCGAGACCATCCTGGCTAACACGGTGAAACCCCGTCTCTACTAAAAAATACAAAAAACTAGCCGGGCGAGGTGGCGGGCGCCTGTAGTCCCAGCTACTCGGGAGGCTGAGGCAGGAGAATGGTGTGAACCCGGGAGGCGGAGCTTGCAGTGAGCCAAGATCCAGCCACTGCACTCCAGCCTGGGCGACAGAGCAAGACTCTGTCTCAAAAAAATAAATAAATAAATAAATAAATAAATAAATAATAATAAAATAAAATACATAATAATAATAATAATAATAATGGGTCGAAGAGGGAATCTCAAAGGAAAAAATATTCAAAACAATTATAAATACATACATACATCCTTTATATATATGAATATACAGAATAATAAGACCACCACATACAACTTACACTTATAACTTTAACAGATTAGAAGATATGGACCAAATGTTTGAAAATCACAAACTACCAATACCCTGCTAAGATAAAATAGGTAATCTGAATAGTCCTACAACTATTAAATAAATTGAATTTATAATTAAAATGTCCCCAAAAAGAAATCTCCAGGTTCAGACAGTTGCACTGGAGAAGTTTACCAAAAATTCATATAATGTTTTACATAATTTCTTCCAGAAAACAGAAAAGACAACACTTCTCAACTCACTTTATAAGGCCAGTATTACTGTGATAACAAAACAAGACTACGGTGACACAACAAAGAAAATAAACATCAATATCTTTCATGAACTTAAACGAGAAAATTGTCAACTAAATTTTAGCAAGTCAAATCCAACCCAACAATGAATAAAATGCATAATATACCATGACTAAGTGGGATTTAGTCTAGGTATAAGAAGCTAATTTAATATTTAAAAATAGTTCAATATATTATATAAATATAAGATACATAAGAAAAATAACATGATGACATCAACACTAATTCATATTCAAAAAACAACCTCTGCCAGGCACGGTGGCTCACACCTGTAATCCCAGCACTTTGGGAGGCAGAGGCGGGCGGATCACCTGAGGTCAGGAGTTTGAGACCAGCCTGGCCAACATAGTGAAACCCTGTCTTTACTTAAAAAAAAAAAAAAAAAAATACAAAAGTTAGCTGGGTGTGGTGGTGCGTGCCTGTAATTCCAGCTATTTGCAAGGCTGAGGCAGGAGAATCGCTTGAACCTGGGAGGCGGAGGTTGCAGTGAGCTGAGATCACGCCACTGCACTCCAGCCTGGGTGACAGAGCAAGACTCCGTCACCAAAAACAAACAAACAAACAAAACTATAAAATGTCTAAAAAATAAAATCTTAAGGACCTTTGAGTAGGCAAACAATTATTAGACTGGACACTAAATACACATACACACACCAAAAACACAATTCATAAGAGAAAAGAAGATAAATTAGACCTCATCAAAATTAAGAACTTTTGCTCTGCAAAGACCCTGTTAAAAGGATAAAAAGACAAATTACAGGGCAACCCACTGGGGTCCCCTTCCATGCTGTGGAAGCTTTGTTTTTTCACTCTTCACAATAAACCTTGCTAAAAAAAAAAAAAAGACAAATTACAGTCTGGGAGAAAATATTTGCAGGTTATATATCCAACAAAGGCATTCTGTCTAAGATACAAAAAGAACTTTGAAAACGCAACAGTATAAAACCAACCAAATTAGAAAATGGGCAAAAGGCATGGAGAGACATTTCACTGAACAGGATAGACAGATGGCACACACAGATGTTCAACATTATTTGCCATTAAGGAAATTCAAATTAAAACCACAATGAGATATAATTACCCACCTATTAGAATGGCTAGAATGAAAAACAATTAGAACACCAAGTGCTGGCTATGATTAAAGAAACTAGATCACACATACATTGCTGGTAAGAAAGTAAAATGGTACAAAGATTGTCAACAATAATTTAGCAGCTCCTTGAAAAACTAAAAATGAACTTATTACACTACACAGCAACTACACCCTTGAGCATTTATCGTAAATAAATGAAGACTTATTTTCACATGCACAAGTTTGTACATGAATGTAAAAAACAAAAAACCCATATATATGTGTATGTGTATATGAAATAAAAGAAAAAAAAATTTTCAAAAGGGCAAGTATTGCAGGATTCTATTTATATAACAATTATGAAATTACATAATTATACAGAGAACAGAACAGTTGGGCCAAGGTGTATTAGTCTGTTCTCATGCTGCTGATAAAGACATACCCGGGACTGGATAATTTATAAAGAAAAAAGTTTAATGGACTCACAGTTCCATGTGGCTGGGGAGGCCTCACAATCATGGCAGAAGGCAAAGGAGGAGAAAAGGCACATCTTACATGGCAGCAAGCAAGACAGAATGAGAGCCAAGCGAAAGGGGAAACCCCTTATAAAACCATCAGATCTTGTGACACTTACTACCACGAGAACAGTATGGAGGAAACTGCCCCCATGATTCAATTATCTCCCACCTGGTCCCTCCCACAACACATGGGAATTATGGGAGCTATAACTCAAGATGAGATTTGGGAGAAGACACAGCCAAACCATATCACAAGGGATAGGAAAAAGAGAAATGGGACAAGTATATAGCTATAAAGAGGTAACACAAGGGAGTCTTGTGATGGTATTGTTGAGTACTTTGACTATTGTGGTGGTGACACAAGGCTACATGTGATAAAACTGCATAGAGCTATAAATATACACACAGAAATGAGTGCATGTATAACTGGTGAAATCTGAGTAAGTTCTACGAATTGTAGCAATGTCAATTTTTTGGTATGGTATTGTACTATAGTTGGATAAGGTATTAACCCTGGGGGAAGCTGCAAAGGGGTGCACAGGACTCCCCTGTACATTTCTTTGCAACCTCTTGTGAATCCATAATTATTTCAAAATAAAGGGTTTTTTTAAAAGAAAATCCATGCCAAAGAAAAAGCCTAACCAGGTATTAAAAAACTGGTAAAGGAATGTTATCTTTACATTAAAACATGTATGAGAATATGTATCATTTTTCCATGATTCCTCTCTATTAGTTTCTTAGGGCTGCCATTAACAAAGTCCCACAAACTGGGTGGCTTAAAACACCACAAATGTATTCTCTCACAGTTCTGTAGCACTTTATTTATTTATTTATTGAGACCCTGTCTTGCTCTGTTACCAGACTAGAGTGTAATGACAGAATCATGGTTCTCTGCAGCCTTGACCTCCCAGGCTCAAGCAATCCTCCCAACTCGGCCTCTTGAGTAGATGGGACTACAGGTGCATGCCACCATGCTAGGCTACAGACAAGGTGTCACTATATTGCCCAGACTGGTATCAAACTCCTAGGCTCAAGCAATCCTTCCACCTTGGCCTCCCAAAGTGCTGGGATTACAGGTGCGAGCCACCACGTTCAGCCTATAGCGCTTCAATGAGTCACAGACATCATCAAAGAACTCTGGCCTATAGAATGGATCTGTTTTTGGCCTACACACCCCAAACTTTCCTGGTTGATCTCCTTTCTTCTCAATCATCCCTCTGCCATCTCTACCTCCTCAATATAGTCATATATTACTTTCTCCAATTTTCCTAATTTCTAATCAACACTATTTTTTTGCCTAGTGATTCTATTAGAATATCCATCCATGTATTCTTGATCCCCTACTAGATTGAAAATGTCTCTATAACACTTTAAAAATGTATTCCTATCACCTAGCAAAGCAACTTGTATGAATCTTTTATTTATTTATTTTGAGACAGCATCTTGCAGTGTCACCTAAACTGGAGTAAAGTGGTACAATCTTGGCTCACTGTAGCCTCAAACTCCTGGGCTCAAATGATCTCCCACCTCAGTCTGCTGAATATCTGGGACTACAGGCATACACCACCATGCCTGGCTAATTTTTTAATTTTTAATTCTTTGTAAAGACAGGGCTTTTGCTATGTTGCCAGACTGGTCACAAACTCCTAAGGCTCAAGTAATCCTCCCACCTGAGCCTCCCAAAGTGCTGAGATTACAGGTGTGAGCCACTGAGCCTGGCCTGAATCTTTTTTAAAAAGTTATAAACAGGCTGGGCACAGCAGCGCATGCCTGTAATCCTAGCACTTTGGGAGGCTGAGGTGGGAGAATTGCTTAAGGAGGTCGAGACCAGCCCGGGCAATATAGCGAGACCTCATCTCTGCAAAAATTTAAAAAATTAGCCAGGTATGGTGACGTGTGCCTGTAGTTCCAGCTACTCAGGAAATTGAGGTGAGAGGATTGCTTAAGCCAGGGAGGCAGAGGTTGCAGTGAGCCAAGTTTGCACCACTGCACTCCATCCAGCCTGAGTGACAAAGTAAAACCCTGTCTCAAAACAAACAAACAAAAATTAATAAACACTGTAGATTGTGTCCTTTGATGTACAGAGTTTTTAGGTTTGATGTAGTCCCATTTGTCTATTTTTGCTTTTGTTGCCAGTGCTTTTGGTGTTACATACACAATAAATCATTGCCAAATCCAATGTTATGAAGCTTTTCTCCAATATTTTCTTCTAAGAGTTTTTGTTGTTTTAGATCTCACATTTAGGTCTTTGATCCATTCTGAGTTAATTTTTCTATCTGGTATAAGACAAGGGTACAAATGTATTCCTTTGCCTGTGGATAATCCAATTTTCTCCATGGAAGTGTTGGCACCCTTGTCTAAAATCATTTGACTATTTATGCAAGGGTTTATTTCTGGGCTCTCTATTCTATTCCATTAGTCTACATGTCTATCTTTATGCCAGTACCACACTGTTTGATTACTATAGGTTTGTAATATGTTTTGAAATCAGGTTTTCCCTAAGTATTTGATTTAAAATAACCTTGCCAACCCAACATTCTGAACAGCTGGTCTGTTCCCTGCAAGGGCTTCCTGTGCTTGCTCACTCACCTGGGCACCATCTTCCTGTCTCTTCCCTCACAACCATCCAGGGCTCCTTCCCTTGCTCCAATGAGGAGATTATGGCTGGCTTAGAAACAGAAAGACCTAGTTATAAGAAAAGAAATTGAGATGAGATGGAAATGAATGTATCCAAATACCGTAATTTAGAACTGATTAAAATAAAAATAAATCACAGATAAAAATGGTACTTGATAAGGGATACAGAGGAAATAAAGGAGAAGAGATGAAATCCTCATATTCATATGAACACAGGATCATAACAAACAAAGCAAACAAATAGGCGATAAAATAGTACTTAAATTTATGTAAGCTTTCTCTTATTTTGCTGTGAGGAAAAAAAAAAAGAAGCTTCCTGAAATATTTATTCTTTTAAAAAATTTTCTTTTTGAGACGGAGTTTTGCTCTTGTTGTCCAGGCTGGAGTGCAATCGCACAATCTCGGCTCACTGCAACCTCCACTTCACGGGTTCACGTGATTCTCCTGCCTCAGCCTCCTAAGTAGCCAGGATTACAGTACACCCACCACAGTGCCTGGCTAATTTTTGCATTTTTAGTAGAAACGGGGTTTCGCCCATATTGGCCAGGCTGGTCTCAAACTCCTTACCTCAGGTGATCCACCCGCCTCAGCCTCCCAAAGTACTAGGATTACAGGCATAAGCCACTGCACCCGGCCTCATATTTTTTAAATGTTAACTGTACAAAGTTCTTAAAAAATAACTTCCAAAGGCAAATCATTTAAAAGAGAATACAGGTCAGGCATGGTGGCTCACGCCTGTAATCCCAACACTTTACGAGGCCAACGCAGGTGGATCACTTGAGATCAGAATTTTGAGACCAGCCTGGCCAACATGGTGAAACCCTGTTTCTACTAAAAGTACAAAAATTAGTTGTGCCTGGTGGTAGGCACCTGTAATCCCATCTACTCAGGAGGCTGAGGCAGGAGAACTGCTCGAACCTGGGAAGCAGAGGATGCGGTGAGCTGAGATGCGCCATTGCACTCTAGCCTGGGCGACAAAAGTGAAACTCTGTCACAAAAAAAAAGAAAAAAGTTAAAAGGCCGGGTGTGGTGGCTCACGCCTATAATCCCAGCAGTTTGGGAGGCCAAGGCAGGTGATCACCTGAGGTCAGGAGTTTGAGACCAGCCTGACCAACATGGAAAAAACACGTCTCTACTAAAAATACAAAATTAGCCAGGTGTGGTGGCGCATGCCTGTAATCCCAGCTACTCGGAAGGCTGAGGCAGGAGAATCGCTTGAACCTGGGAGGCAGAGGTTGCGGTGAGCCGAGATCACGCCATTGCACTCCAGCCTGGGCAATGAGAGCGAAACTCCATCTCAAAAAACAAACAAATAAATTAAATAAAAAATGAAAGAGGACATTTATTATAGGAAATGGAGTGGTGTTCCTTTGAGAATAGTAAATGAACCTTTATTACTCTAGCCTACCACTCTGTTACCCAGCAAAGAAAAAAGCTTCGCTCCTGGAACCCATGTGTCTAGTTTTAATCTTATGCTAGTACACTGGCAGATTTAGTACAGTGGATGTGAAAAAAAGACAGTGCTTTCTTTGACAGCGTTATGCTTTAACATTGCAGATTTCCAATTCTGCCCCTTAAACATCAAAGAAGAGTTATTATAAGAAAGGACCAAAAGAACATGTAAGGATGGGGATAATGAAAATATCCCTCCATTTAGCTGTGCTTGTTTCTACAATACATAAAGAGAAAATTCATCCAGTTATTTGAAAGCTAGCCCTAAATTAATAGGGGAGAAAGAAGAAATTCTAAGTAGATTGTGAATTGTTAGAAGAATTCTGAATTGTCAGGTTCTTAATTTTTAGATAACTTTACCAAGTGACACCAAGTTGCTATAATTCTCCAACATCACCTCCTTGTACAAATTCCTCTGCGCTGGGTTCAGGCATTCCCATTCCTCCTGAGAGACATCTATAGCCACATCTCTGAACATCACCAACTCCTAAAATGACAAATCGTAGTACTATTTTTGAAATTATAAGAAACATTTTTAAAAAGAAAAGAGAGGCGCTAAAAGAAGGTACTGCAAGAAAGGAGACAGTCTACTGAATATATAGGCTAAGCCTGGGTCACGGGTCAAAGAGGAATTTAGTGTGACTGAAGTGGAGTGCCCACATGTTCTTAAACAATTCAATTTCTGCAGATACATCTTCCTGTGTAGGTGGCAAACTCCTGTTAATCAGTCATCTCGAAACTAGGAAAATAAGTACAGGCTCCCAATTAAATTAAATAGTTAAAAATGTTTAAATCTTTCCAAAATGTCTTATTAAAATCCCTATCTTGAGAAAAATAACTTGAAGACTTGACTTTATGATTATGACTATCATGCCATAGGCATTTTTAGTTTTCCTGCAAATTCTTTAGTACACATCTGGTGCACACTACATTTTCCATAGATGGACACTGCTGTATCTTTCATCGCATATATTCTTCAATTTAATCTTGACATCCCCCTTCCAATTGGTGTAAAGTTATGTGTCCCCTTCTCTTGAACCTGAAAGGACATCTTTCAACCTATAGACTTATTCACCCTATAGAATATGGCAAAAGTGATTATGTGACTTCCGTGGTTAGATCACAAAAACATATCATACTTCTGCCTTACTTTCTGGGGATGTTCGTTCTGGAAACCCAGCCACCATGTTCCTAGGAAGCCTAACCAGCCCATGGGATAGCTCATGGGGAAAGGAACCAAGCCTCCCCAAACAACAGTCAGCAACAGCTTGCAAGCCATGTGAGGGAACTATCTTGAAAGTGGGTCATGTAGTTCCCAATCAGACCATTTCAGCTGATACCACAAGGAACAGAGGTGAGCAATCCCTACTGAGCTCTGCTCAGATTGTGGATTTGCAAGCCCAACCATGATTGCTGTTTTAATCTACTAAATTTTGGGTTGGTTTATTATCTAGAAATAGTTATTGTAACGTAATATGATTTTTATTGGTAGCATAGCATTTGATTTTTTTTTTTTTTTTTTTTTGAGATGGAGTCTCGCTCTGCCACCCAGGCTGGAGTGCAGTGGCCGGATCTCAGCTCACTGCAAGCTCTGCCTCCCGGGTTCACACCATTCTCCTGCCTCAGCCTCCCAAGTAGCTGGGATTACAGGTGCCCGCCACCTCGCCCGGCTAATTTTTTTTTGTATTTTTAGTAGAGACATGGTTTCACCGTGTTAGCCAGGATGGTCTCAATCTCCTGACCTCGTGATCTGCCCGTCTCCGCCTCCCAAAGTGCTGGGATTACAGGCTTGAGCCACTGTGCCCGGCCCCCATTTTTTTTTTTAAGAGACGGGGTCTCACTATATTTCCCTGGCTGGTCTTGAGCTCCTGGGCTCAAGCAATCCTCCCACCTTGGCCTCCCAAAGTGCTGGGATTACAGGCATGAGCCACTGCACCCAGCCTCATTTAATCTTACAATAAAAGATTTAATAATTCTCTTAAGCTTGAATCTCTGGGGTGAATAAAATCTCTACGGTATTTTCTAAGGTACATATTCCATTGTTTTATAATTATACTTGAGAGGTCTTAACTGTTACCATCCACCACCTCTCCCTGTATATTTACTATGTTCCTAAACTAAAGAATATTAATGTAGAATGATCCAGACTCTCATAGATGTGACCCAAGTAAGTCTAACATATGCTGTTCAATCTAAAACTGGAGTTTGTAATTGGTGATCACATATTTTCTGGCAAGATCTTCAGTTTTTCCACGCAAGCACTAATCCTATCTCCATCTAATCCTAAAGCCTCACGCAGCAAAGTCTGTCTGCTCAATGAGATCACCAAACACCAATTCCTGGCCGGGCGCGGTGGCTCAAGCCTGTAATCCCAGCACTTTGGGAGGCCGAGATGGGTGGATCACGAGGTCAGGAAATCGAGACCATCCTGGCTAACACGGTGAAACCCCGTCTCTACTAAAAAATACAAAAAGCTAGCCGGGCGAGGTGGCGGGCGCCTGTAGTACCAGCTACTCCGGAGGCTGAGGCAGGAGAATGGCGTGAACCCGGGAGGCGGAGCTTGCAGTGAGCTGAGATCCGGCCACTGCACTCCAGCCCGGGTGATAGAGCGAGATTCCGTCTCAAAAAAACAAAACAAAACAAAAACAACAACAACAACAAAAAATACCAATTCCTATCACATCTCACCGGAAAACCCAAAATTGTGAAGTTCAAAGATTTCCCACATGTGATTTAATTAACCATTCATTCCCTGAGGACACCTCAAGTGGTAGCTTTTTTTTTCTCCCACAGCCTTCGTACCACCGTCCTCCTTGTTTCTAATCGTTGATGTCAGACAACTGTCTTTCCTTCTCTAAAATCTTTTTTTTTTTTGAAGTGGAATCTCACTCTGTCGCCCAGGCTGGAGTGCAGTGGCATGGCCTCAGCTCACTGCAACCTCTGCCTCCTGGGTTCAAGCAATTCTCGTGCCTCAGCCTCCCAAGTAGCTGGGATTACAGGTGCACACCACCACACCTGGCTAATTTTTGTATTTTTTGTAGGGAAGGGGTTTCACCATGTTGTCCAGGCTAGTCTCAAACTCCTGACCTCAAGTGATCTGCCTGCCTCGGCCTCTCAAAATGCTGGGATTACGGTTGTGACCCACCGCACCTGGGTCCCTTCTCTAAAATATAATGTCATCATTTCATCAGTCTATACCATGTATTATCTCTCTCTCCATTGCAGTGATGTATTTACATGCAGGTTTTTGCCCCTCAGGAATTTTCGCTCCTGGCTCAGTATCACTAACTCTAATACTATAATCTTAATTTTCAGTGATTTCAAATATCCGTATACTGCGTTCTTCTAACATCATGGGCCCAATTCCTTAACCTCTTCTACTTTTCTATGAGCTTATCTTCCACTCTACTGTACTCACTCCCCACGTTATTACTCTAGACCTTGTGACTAGCAATAACTGCATCACCTCCAAAATATCAAGTATCCTTCTCTGATCCCCTTCACATTGGCACTCACCCACTCCATGCCTCTTCTCCCCCTTCTTACCCAACTTAAATTCCATGCTCAACTAATCACTTAACTTTATAATCACTCCCAGCATGAGCTCCCTTAACCCTCTCATTTCACACTTGCTTGACAAAGCCTGAATCCTTGATGAATCCATCTCTCTTTCTACTCCATCACCAAATCTAAGTAGCTAAAATTGGCTAGAGAAAATTATAAAACTTAGTAACAAGTTTTATTTTTATATTTTCTTTCTCTTTTTTTTTTGCGAGGGGTGGTAAGGGTGGGGCATCTTTCTTTGTCACATAAGCTGGAGTCCAGTGGCGAGATCTTAGCTCACACTGCAACCTCAAACTCCCAGGCACAACTGATTCTCCCATCTCAGTGTCCCAAGTAGCTGGGACTACAGGCATGTGCCACCATACTCAGCTAATTTTTTTTTTTTGTGTACCGATGGGGGTCTTTGTTGTCCAGGCTGGTCTCAAACTCCTGGTTTCAAGCAGTCCTCTTGCTGTGGCCTCCCAAAGTGTTGGAATTACAGGCATGAGCCACTGCACCTGGCATATTTTTATATTTTTCTTTTCCTTTCTTAAATGGTTAAGAACTAAAAAGGTATACATTCAGATGTCTTGCCTCATATTTATCCTTTCCATTTTGTTTCCCACCTCTTGCCCCCATGAGTGAAAAAAGTTATTAAAAAACTTCATAAGTAAATACATACATATAATTTTTCATGCTTTTATACAAATAGTAACATATTATAATATATGCACTGTTTGGTACTTGATTTTTTTTCACTTATTAAATTCAAAGTATCTTGCCATATCTGTGATGAATGGCTTCTTTATTTTTACATAAGTATATATAGTCCAATTATTTGTATTAACACTGATGGTTTATCAATTAAACCTATAGATTCATTATTTCTAGTCTTTGGCTATTATAAACAACAGTACAATGAATGCTATTGTGAATTTATCATTTCATACAAATACGGGTATATCTGTAAGAAAAAGTACCAGGAGTTGGATTGCTGGGTCAAAATGGAAAATACATTTTGGTAGATGTCAAATTGCCCTTGAAAGCAGTTAGACCATTTTGTTCTCCTCACAGACTCACTAACAGGGTGCTTTGTCAAAACATTTTATTTTTACCAATCTAACAAGAAAGAAATGTCCACTAAAACTCTATGTCATAAACTCTACTGCCACAGAGTTTTAGTGGACATTTCTTTAATTGTGAGTTTAGTACTTTTCTTTTTAGAAGAACCCTTTATATTTCCTTTTCTGTGAACTCTCTATTCAGGTCCTTTGGCCTTTTTTCTACTGGGCTAGTCATCTTTTTTTCTCTAAAAGTTCTCTATATTAGAGAAATAATAAGCTCTTTCCTTGTTTATGAGTGGTAAATACTTTACTCCAGTTTGTCATCTGTCTTCTGACTTTGCTGACAAGTGTTTCTCGCCATGCAGAAGTTTTTTTATTTTAATGTGGTAAAATGTGTTAACTTTTTCTTTTTCTAGTTTTTGGATTCTGAGTCCTAGTTAGAAAGGCGTTCCCCAAACCAAAGTTATGGAGGAATTCTCCCATGTTTTATTCTAGTGCTGTTATCACTATATTTTTAACAATTAAATTATTTGATTTATTGTAATTTATCCTATATGGTACGTGGGATATAGATTGGACTTTATCTTTTTCCAAAATTGCTACCTATCTGATAATGTTATCAACAGTCCATCTTTAGCCTACCGATTGGACATGTCATGTTAACCATGAGTTATATTCCCATTTTAGGTATAACTCTAGGATTTCTATTCTGTTCACTTGATCCAATTATCATGTTTTCAGTATTGTGCCTTTCCATTATATGTAATTATGTGTAATTACCTGGTAGAGCTAATGTCCCCTCTACAGAGGGAATTAACAGAACCCTGAGTCAACAACACATAACATGCAATAAAAAGTGTACAATAGGCTGGGCGTGGTGGCTCACACCTGTAATCCTAGCACTCTGGGAGGCTGAGGCAGGCGGATCACTTGAGGTCAGGAGTTTGAGACCAGCCTGGGCAACATGGTGAAACCCCATCTCTACTAAAAATACAAAAAATTAGCTGAGTGTGGTGGCACACAACTGTGGTCCCAGATACTTGGGAGGCTGAGGTGGGATAGTCGCTTGAACCTGGGAGGCAGAGGTTGCAATGAGCTGAGATTGTGCCACTGCATTCCAGCCTGGGTGACAGATTGAGACTCCGTCTCAAAAAATAAATAAATAAAAATAAATACATAAAATTACTAGAAATGAAAAAATATGATTTTCAAGAGAAAACCACTTAATAGAAACATATCGACAAATGACACAGATGTTGAAATTGGCAAAGACTATAAAAACTATGAGATATATTTAAAAAATCTACAGGAGGGAAAAAGGGAAATTTCAGGTGAAATTTGAATACTCTAAAAAAGAACCCAAGGCAAATCCCGAAACTAAGAAATGAACTATATGAGGCCGGGTGTGGCGGTGGACACCTGTAATCCCAGTACTTTGGGAGGCTGAGGCGGGTGGATCACCTGAGGTCAGGAGTTTGAGATCAGCCTGGCCAATGTGGTGAAACCCTGGTCTCTACTAAAAATACAAAAATTAGCCAGGCATGGTGGTATACAAAAATGTTAAAGGAAATTCTTCACGTGGAAAAAAAAATTGATACTAGATAAAATCTTCAGTCTATACAGAAGAATAAAGAGTGTTAGAAATGGTAAACATAGGGTTAAAACATAAGATATTCTTTTCATTTAATAATTTCTTTAAAAGATAATCAACTAAAGAAAGAAATATATGCTTTAAGCAAATTTAGAAATAAAATATATGACAAAAAAAAAAAAAAAGACGGGAAGGGGAAATAGAAGTATCCAGTTGTGCCTGGTGCAGTGGCTCACCCCTGTAAGCCACTCCAGGTAGGCAGGATTGCTTAAGGCCAGGAGACCAGCCTGGGTAACAAAGTGAGATGGCATCTCTACAAAAAATTAAACAATTAGCCAGACGTGGTGGCACACAACTGTAGTCCTAGTTACTTGGAAGGCTAAGGCAGGAGGATCACTTGAGCCTAGGAGTTCGAGGCTGCAATAAGCTATGATGACACCACTGGACTCCAACCTGGGCAACAGAGCATGACCCAGTCTCTTAAAAAAAAAAAAAAAAGAAAAGTATCCAGCTGTAAGACGTTTACATTATACCTGAAATGTTCTAAAATGACTCGAATAATGTAAAGCACATTGCAAACCTTAAAACAACCCCTAAAACAGCAAAACAAAGAGATACAGCAAATAATCCTATAGTGAAGATAAAATTAAACACTAAAAAAATAAGATTAATCCAAGACAAGGCAGGAAAACAGGAAAAAAAAATTTAAAAAGAACAGTTGACAAAATGATAGAGTAAAACCTAACTATATTGCTAATTACATTAAATTTAAGTGGTCAAACTACAGTATATTTCCTGACTTATTTTATGGAGCCAGCATTGCCCTGACACTAAAACTTAAAAATTAATTAAAAATTAAGATGAAAGAAAGTCATTTTTACATAATAAAATCTGAGAGAATGTGTCACCAAAGACCCAAACTACAGGAAATGCTAAGGGAAGATCTTCAGGCTAAAGATAAATGATACAGGATGGAAGTTCAGATCACAGGAAGGAAGGAAAAGCAACTAGACATTTTTTCCTGTTTTCCAACACATATAATTTCTTATCTTTGCAAATTCTTTCCACATTTCCAAGTGTTTCTTTTTTATTTATTCCTTTTTTTGAGACGGAGTTTCGCTCTTGTTGCCCAGGCTGGAGTGCAATGACACAATCTCAGCTCACCGCAACCTCTGCCTTCTGGGTTCCAGTGGTTCTCCTACCTCAGCCTCCCAGGTAGCTGGGATTACAGGCATGCACCACCACGCCAGGCTAACTTTGTATTTTTAGCAGAGACGGAGTTTCTCCATGTTGATCAGGCTGGTATCGAACTACCGACTTCAGGTGATCTGCCTGCCTCAGCCTCCCAAAATGCAGGGATTACAGGCGTGAGCCACAGCACCTAGCCGTTTCCATGTATTTCTAATTCATATATTTTCACTGTTTTTGGTAGGAGCATTCAAAGCTATGATTTTTCCTTAGGGTCCTGCTATTTTATTTTAGTTTTTGAGATGGAGTCTTGCTCTGTCATGCAGGCTGGAGTGCAGTGGCAAGATCTTGGTTCACAGCAATATCCACCCCCTGGGTTCAAGCAATTCTCCTGCCTCAGCCTCCCAAGTAGCTGGGATTACAGGTGCACGCCACCACACCCAGCTAATTTTTGTATTTTTAGTAGAGATGGGGATTCACCATGTTGGCCTGGATGGTCTTGATCTCCTGACCTCATGATTGGCCCACCTCAGCCTCCCAAAGTGCTGGGATTACAGGCATGAGCCACTGCACCTGGCCAGTGTCCTGCTTTAATTAAATCTCTTTTTTTTTTTTTTTTAAGACAGAGCCTTGCTCTGTTGCCCAGGCTGGAGTGCAGTGGTGTGATCTCGGCTCACTGTAATCTCCGCCTTCCAGGTTCACGCCATTCTCCTGCCTCAGCCTCCCTAGTAGCTGAGACTACAGGCGCCCACCACCACGCCCGACTAATTTTTTGTATTTTTAGTAGAGACGGGGTTTCACCCTGTTAGCCAGGATGGTCTTGATCTCCTGACCTCATGATCCACCCGCCTTGGCCTCCCAAAGTGTTGGGATTACAGGCATGAGCCACCGTGTTTTCTTTTCATTCTATTTGTCTGATATAGTTTGCCAGTCCTTTTCTTAACCTTTCTAAATTAGTGAATCATTCAGGTGTCTGGGTTTTAATTCATGATTCAATCTGAAAGGTCTTTTAATAGATGAGTTAAACACCATTTGCATATATTAATAAGGCATATATATTTGCTCTCTGGTCTTAACTTTATCATGTATTTTTTTTTTTTTTTTTTTTTTGAGACAGAGGCTTGCTCTGTCACCCAGGCTGGAGTGCAGTGCGATTGTAGCTCACTGCAGCCGCAAACTTCTGGGATCAAGTGATCCTCCCACTTCCGCCTCAGCCTCCCCAGTAGCTAGGACTACAGGTGCACACAACCACAAGCAGCTGATTAACAAAAAAAAATTCTTTTTGTAGAGATGGGGTTTTATTATGTTGCCTGGACTGGTCTGGAACTCCTGGACTCAAACAATTCTCTCGCTTCAGCCTCTCAAAGTGCTAGAATTACTGGCGTGAGCCTCCGTGCCTGGCTTTTATCACGCGATTATTTTGTTAATTCTGTCTTGCTCACTCTCTCTGCATATATCTGTGTGTCTTAAGTCTTACTATACATAAGTTATTTTTTGTCTCTCAATACCGGTTAAGCCTCAGAAGGGAAGATATGCATGTATGTGATATTTTTTCCCCACTGATTTATTCCTAGTTACCTAGAAGAATGCCTGTCACATAGTAGGTACTCGGTAAATATTCGTTAAATCACCTCATCCAATCAAAGTTCTCACAAGAGAAACACTAATATTTTCTTCAAAATAATATTATTTGTGTTCTTTCCTTGTTTCTGTTAAAAGATTTCACGTAAGGGAGATGAAGAATCATTTATTCAACAAGCATATGAACACGGGTTGGAGAGGAGAGAAGCAAAAATGAAGGCCCTGAAATTCTGGCACGTCACTTACTCACTAGTAAGTTACTGTATAATTCTCAGGTAAGAAACAATGTCAGAATAAAGAAGGCAGGCCAGGCGCAGTGGCTCACGGCTCACCCTGTAATCCCAGCACTTTGGGAGGCTGAGATGGGCGGATCACTTGAGGCCAGGAGTTTGAGATCAGCCTGGCCAACTTGGCAAAACCCCATCTCTACTTAGAGTACAAAAATTAGCTGGGTGTGGTGGCATGTGCCTGTTGTCCCAGCTACTTGAGAGGCTGAAGTTGGAGAATCGCTTGAACCTGGGAGGTGGAGGCTGCAGTGAGCCAAGATCGCGCCACGGCACTCTAACCTTCCCACCTGGGAGACAGAATGAGGCTATATCTCCAAAAAAAAAAATGCAAATAGTCACAAGCCCTATACAAAAAAACCAAACCAAAACAAAAAAAAACACAAAAAATCTATTTTAATTAGGAGCAAGAAAAAAACAACTTACATGGGCCATGGCTTATTTTAGAATTGAATGTATTAATTAATCCTCTTCTTGGTTCCCTCTGGAAGAAACTCAGTCCAAAGAAGGTGTTGCTGGGGGAGAGGGGAGTTAAAAAAAAAAAGACAGGAGATTATTGCCTCTAAGCTCCCAAAATGTTAATTCAGAATGACATTTTTCTTCCCCTTTCATATCTCTTATTCCCAGACCTGATACATACATACATAAATTATTAGTGGGAATTTGGACAAATCCTAGCTTTACTCAAAACCATGAGGAAACCCAGCTACAGCAGGATAGACTCAAGAAAAGCAAGGATCATTCTCTTCAGCAGAAGGGATAGTTAGGCCAGCCCAGTGTCCCAATACTATGATGAAATGGAAGCCAGGATCAGGGTGCTGAGAACTGCCCTGAGTAGATTTTTACTGAATTAAGAGGAAAAAGAAAAGTTAATGGACATTATGAGAAAAGATCAGGGAAACAGAAAACAGACCCAAAAGACCCAATGTATGTATAACAGGAATTTCAAAAATAAGAGGCTGAAACAACACAGATGGAAGAGAAGAAATAAATAGAACAAAAATTTCCAGACCAAAATAAACTCTTGAGTCTTTAAAGTACAGTGCTGTAAGAATTAAAGAAGAATCGTACCTGCAAACATCCTGAGAAATATTCTTAAATTTGTCTTTGAATACAGACAAAAGGACATAAATATCTTTTAGTAAGAAGTTGCAGAGGTTGGGCGCAGTGGCTCACGCCTGTAATCCCAACACTTTGGGAGGCAGAGGCAGGCGGATCACGAGGTCAGGGGCCCAAGACCAGCCTGGCCAACATGGTGAAATCCCGTCTCTACTAAAAATACAAAAATGAGGTGGGTGTGGTGGCGGATGCCTGTAATCCCAGCTACTCGGGAGGATGAGGCAGGAGAACTGCTTGAAAACCCACGGCGGAGGTTGCAGTGAGCCCAGATAGCGCCACTACATTCCAGCCTGGGCGAAAGAGAGAAACTCCGTCTCAAAAAAAAAAAAAAAAAAAAAAAAAGAAGTTGCAGAACAATGTGTATGTATTGTGGCCTAGCCTAATCTTAGGAAAAAAAAAAAATCAAACACATATGTACATAAGCATACTACATATGTGGTGTTTTTCTGAGGCTGTGATGATAAATGCGGGGTAGCAATGTGATTTTGGCTTGTGTTGTATGTGTAAATCTACAGCTAACTCCTCAAGTAGTCAGGAGGGGAGATGGCTGAATGACAGATCTCTGGGGCAGGGCGTCCTGAGCCTTAGATGTGTGCACAGGAGCGGGGTGAGGTGACTGTGCGTGTGTCTGTGTGTGAGAGACCAGAGTTGACTGAGAGGAGTGGAAGCTCTCTGACTGATCGTGTGAGCCTGAGGATAAAGTAAATGCTTTTTTTTTTTTTTTTTTGAGACGGAGTTTCACTCTTGTTGCCCAGGCTGGAGTGCAATGGTGCGATCTCGGCTCACCGCAACCTCCGCCTCCCGGGTTCAAGCGATTCTCCTGCCTCAGCCTCCCGAGTAGCTGGGATTACAGTCATGCACCACCACACCTGGCTAATTTAGTGTTTTTAGTAGAGATGGGGTTTCTCCACGTTGGTCAGGCTGGTATCGAACTTCCGACCTCAGGTGATCCACCCGCTTCGGCCTCCTAAAGTGCTGGGACAGGCGTGAGTCACTGCGCCCGGCGTGTGCTTTTTCTTTCATGTAAATTAATGGGACTTAAACAAATAGCCATTCACAATAATGGTCACAGTCACCTACATTTACACAAATGATCGGGCACAGAATCACACTGTCAGTAAAGCACACCCACGCACCAGGTCGCTGTCCCAACAGTAACACACACTTAGCCCAAAGATAAACCCTACTTCCTCACGCATGCAAAACACACCCCCCTAAGGGGTGATCCCGCACTCAGAGGCTTAAAACTACAGACATTCCCCTTCCACGACACTGGTGAGCCAGGATTTCTCACCTTCAGCATCCTCAGGGAAGGCTCTGGTCCAAGTCCTGATTCGGATTCCAGGCGAGGCCGCTCTACCTTCTCCACCGGCCCGGGACACCCTTACCTGCCTCTACCCGGAGACCATTCCTTCGAGGCTCCTACCGGAAGTAGCTGTGGACAGCGGTGTCCTCTGGGAAATGCAGTCCGAGGGGAGAGCGCGTGAGATGGAAAGGGTGTGTTCCGCCGGGCTCCGGGATGCACTTGCGCAGTTTCACCCGAGGCTGGAGTGACGCCAACCTCTTAGGGTTCGTTTTCGGATACCAGACTTCGGGTTCCGCTGAGGACGGATTTCAGAATAGGGACAGTGGCTGCCCCGACCTCCTCAAGGCGGCCGCCGCGGGGTGTGGCTGAAGATAATTTTTGGCAGGCGCGGACTAATCCGGCTTCCCTTTGTGGACTTGTGGTGAGAGAGGTGTTTTGTTGCGAGACCGCACGTGCGCCTATCCGAAGGTGACTCTGGTGGAGAAGGTGGATATGAACCGACTTGTGAGGGTGTAGCGCGTGAGATTCGTATGTGAAACGATTTTTTTTTTTTTAATTTTTTTTGGCTGGGCGCGGTGGCTCACGCCGAGGCGGGCGGATCACCCGAGACCAGCCTGACTAATATGGAGAAACCCAGTCTCTACTAAAAATACAGAATTAGCCGGGCGTGATGGCGCCTGCCTGTAATCCCAGCTACTCGGGAGGCTGAGACAGGAGAATCGCTTGAACCCGAGAGGCAGAGGTTGCGGTGAGCCGAGATTGCGCCATTGCACTCCAGCCTGGGCAACAAGAGCAAAATTCCTTCTCAAACAAACAAAACTGTACGTCATATATTTGACTCAATTTATTTTATATATATATTATTGTTATTACTACTATTATTTTGAGACGGAGTCTCGCTCTGTCGCCCAGGCTGGAGTGCAGTGGCGCGATCTCGGCTCACTGCAAGCTCCGGCTCCCGGGTTCACGCCATTCTCCTGCCTCAGCCTCCCACGTAGCTGGGACTACAGGCGCCCGCCACTGCGCCTGGCTAATTTTTTGTATTTTTAGTAGAGACGGGGTTTCACCGTGTTAGCCAGGATGGTCTCGATCTTCTGACCTCGTGATCCACCCTTCTCGGCCTCCCAAAGTGCTGGGATTACAGGCATGAGCCACCGCTCCCGGCCTATTTATATATTTTTTCATACAGAAAAAATATATTCTTGCCTGGGCAAGAAAAACAACAACAACAACAAAAAAAAAAAACTGTACGTCATATATTTCACTCAACTTTAAAAAATTTTTTTTTATTTTTTTGACACAGGGTCTTCATGCCCTGTTGCCCGGGCTGAGTGTGGTGTCGGGATCCTAGCTCACTGCAATCTCCACCTCCTCTGCTTCTCCCGCATCCACCTCCCAAAGTGCTGTGATTACAGGCGTGAGCCACCAGGTCCAGCCAAAACGATATTTATTTATTTATTTTTGGTAAGGACGAGGTCTCGCTATGTTGCCCACGCTGGTGGTCTCGAACTCCTGGACTCAAGCGATCCTCCCATCTCGTTTGCCAAAGTATTGGATGGCAGGTGTGAACCACCGCGCTGGGTCGTGAAACGGTTTTGAGGCCTTTTGAGAATGGCTGTGCTATATGCCCGCGTGGGGTTCATATGGTAAGCGCCGCCACTCCTGCAGTGGCCCCTGTGGGGTGATACCTGATGTGGCTTAAATGTGAGAGGCCACCTGGACCCGTGTGATTGCCATGTTTGCGGGAGCGCAGCCACCTGCACAGGGATCCTGTGACATTCTGTGTGAGGCTTTTTTGCGCTGGGTCCACCCATGATTAGAGGACTAGTGTGACTGTGGCGGCCCCTGGGAAGGGAAAAAGCTGGTTGGGACCAGGAGGGTCTGAGATGGATGAATGACAGATCTCTGGACCTGGGCGTCCTGAACCTTAAATGTATGCATAGGAGCGGTGTGAGGTGACTGTGTATGTTTGGTTGTGTGTGAGAGTCCAGAGCTGACTGAGAGGAGTGGAAGCTGGTACATGTTATCTGCCAGAAGGGACAGATCCATGGTAAGGACTTTTAACTTCGCTGAGAGACCAGTAACTCCATCACCAAGTGTAATATGAGGAAATGGTGCTTGAGAACAAGTGATTCTGCTTGTGTCTGATTCTTGTTCATGTATGTGGGATGGTTTGCTCTTGAAACTGTCACTGAAAGGAGAGTGAAATATATGATGTATAGCTGGCCCTCCCTATCCATGGGTCTTGCATTGGGGATTCAACAAACCTTCAGTTGAAAATATCTGGGAAAAAGTTGATGTTTGTATCTGTACTGAACTTGTACAGACTTTTTTTTTCTTGTCATCATGCCCTAAACAATAGAATATAACAACTATTTACATGGTTATTAGGTATTATAAGTAATCTAGAGAGGGTTTAAAGGATTTTCGTAGATTATATGCAAATACTGTGCCATTTTATATAAGGGACTTGAGCATCTGTGGATTTTGGTAGGGAGGAGTCGTGGAGGGATGACTGTATGTGAAAGTGGTTTGTGAATATGCTCAGGTCTCTGGATGAATTGTATGACAGTGAAGGAGTACGTGATTAGGCTGTTGTGGCTTTGAGGTTTATGTGTATATTTTAAAGGATTATGATTGAGCTGGAGATCATGTGAGATTCGATGTGTTTGAATGTGACTTCTGAGTTAAAATCTGAATGAAAGATTGCGAGGTTATATAAATGTAGTAACTGCATAAGAGAATGCAGGTATCTGGGACCCATGGATACGTTACAATGGGGAAAATAAATAATCAGACCTTTCAGTGATTACTTTTCAGGGTAGTTTGGTGGCAGCACTTTGTGCAAGGAAGGCAAATCCATATCCATAGTGTCTATTTCAGTGAGAAAAAAGCAGTCCAATGTAACCAACCTGCCACCAGAGAATGGTGCCATATTGGGGACTCACTGTTGGTCTCTGCACAGTCACTCTAATAAAAGCCATAGGTCCCTTTTGGAAGACTGGGAGAAAGATTAACAGTATAAATTTCTGGAAGTATACTGGTGTTCTTCCTCAAGGGGACCTGGCCTCCCCTTCATTCAAGGGCTTCTAGGTGTCTTCAGTGACTCAAGTCCGGGTATTCATTGAGGGACCTGACTTTCTGTCTTTATGAATCAAGTTACGCTTTTGTTCACTTGACCTAGAAGTCTTCCACTTATGCAAATCAATTAATGCTTTAGTAGATTTCCCATCTATTTAACTTCCACCAAAGAATATCAGCCATCTTCCCAGATAGTTACCCTGTAACAGATATTTTCTTTGACATGTTCTTTCATGGCCATTTTGCATTCTTTATCACAATAAATCATTGTTTCATATTTATTAACTTGTTTTAAATTAGACACTGGCTCTGAACTGACCTTAATTCCAGGAGACCCAAAACATCACTGTCATCTACCAGTCAGAGTAGGGGCTATGGCAGTTAGGTAATGAATGGAGTTTTAGCTCAGGTATATCTCACAATGGGCACAGCAAGTCCCAGAAGCATTCTGTGGTTGTATCCCCAATACCACACACAAAATTGGACTAGATCTACTTAGTAACTGGCAGAATCCCCACACTGATTACCTGACATGTGAACTGAGGGCTGTTATGGTGGGAGAGGCCAGGTGAAAGCTACTAAAACTGTCTCCACCTAGAAAAATAGTAAATCAGAAGCAATACCACATTCCTGGAGGGATTGCAGAGATTAGTACCACCACTAAGAAAAATATGCAGGGGCGGGGATTCCCACCCCATCCCCATTCAGCTTGCCCGGTTGGCCCTGCAGAAGACAAATCGGTCTTGAAGAATGCCACTGGATTATCATAAGCTTGACCAGGTGGTAACACCTGTTGTAGCTGCTCTACCAAATGTGGTTTTGTTGCTTAAGGATATTAACACATCCTCTGCTACCTGATGTGTAGCTACTGAGCTGGCAAATGCTTTTTTTCTCCATCTTTGTTATTTAAAACCACCATAAATAGCTCGCTTTCAATTGGTAAGGCCAGTAACAACACTTTCACTGTGCAGCCTCAAGGGTATATCAATTCTCCAGACATATATTGTAAGTTAGTTCACAGGGATCTTGATTGCCTTTTCCTTCCGCGAGATACTGCACTGGGCCGGGCACAGTGGCTCAGGCCTGTAATCCCCGCACTTTGGGAGGCTGAGGCGGGTGGATCATCTGAGGTCAGCAGTTCCAGATCAGCCTGGCCAACATGGCAAAACCCCGTCTCTACTAAGAATACAAAAATTAGCTGAACATGCTGGCACACACCTATAATCCCAGCTCCTTGGAAGGCCGAGGCAGGAGAATTGCTTGAACCCAGGAGGCAGAGGTTGCAGTGAGCTGAGATCGTACCACTGTACTCCAGCCTGGGCCACAGAGCAAGATTCCGTCTCAAAACAAACAAACAAAAAATACTGCACTGATCCATTACGTTGATGACATTACACTGATTCGACCTAGTGAACAAGAAGTAGCAAGTACTGTAGATTTATTGGTAAGACATTGCATGTCAGAGGATGGAAATAAATCCAGTAAGAAATCAGGGGCCTTCTACTTCGCTGAAATTCCCAGGGGTCAGGTGGTGTGGAGCATGGTGAGATATCCCTTCTAAGATGATGGATAAATTGTTGCATCTGGCTCCTCCTACAGTCAAAAAGGAGGCGCAATGCATACGGGGTCTCTTTGGATTTTGGAGACAACACATTCTTCACTTGGATGTGTTATTCTGCTGGCCATTTACCATGTGATCCAAAAAGCTATTAGTTCACAGTGGGGCCCAGAACAAGGGAAAACTCCCCAACAGGTCCAGGCTGCTGTGCAAGCTGATGTGTGCCACTTGGGCCACGTGATCCAACAAATATAATAGTGCCTCCAGTGTCAGTAGCAGAGAGGGATGCTGTTTGGAGCCTTTGGCAGGGCCCAACAGAAGAATCACAGGATAGGCCCTGAGGATTTTGGAGCAAAGCTCCATCTTCCTTTTTAGAAAACACCTCTCCAGAGGCAGCTTTTGGCCTGCTACTGGACCTTAGTAGAGACTGACCATTTAATCATGGGCCACCAAGTTACCATGCAACCTGCACTACCCATCATGAAATGGGTGTTATCTGACCC